CTTATATAAACTACTAAAATATAATATCACAGAGCAAATATTCTATTTTCCTTATACCTTTCATAATCACTTGTTCAAAAACTTGCATAGATTTATTTATAGATAATTATTTGATAATTACATAAATGTATCAAGTACCTAGTCAAGATTATATAGGCACATTTTAACTAACAAAAAAGAAAGTTTATTGATCTTTTATCTGTCCTAAGATGTGAGTATAAGAATAGAACATTTTCTGCTAATTAAACCTATCGAGACTCATTGAAGACTACTCTACTATAAATGTTTCTGAAGTTTTAGGTTCCCTTGAGCATGTATCTATAAAGACTGTCAGACACATAAATGTTTCATTGATTATGTCTTAAAATGAGACTAATTGAGTGAATGATCCCATATACACTGTAAGGGTTAGAGGGACTGTTGCTATGGCATGCCCTCACAGAATAAATCTGATTAAGTTGGCTGATACTAAAATTTATTTGATGTTTTAAGAATTGCTCTCATAAAACATATGAAATCAATATCAAGAATAAAAGGAAAACAAATTTTTTTACAATTAAATTGCACAACAATCAAATCTGGGAATAAAACCACAGCTTGATGTATAATCCAAAGACCTAGAACAATATTTATATGACTTTGCATATATAGAGAATGTTATTTATAAACTGTTCAAAAACATCTCATTTGATCCTCAATAACAAAAAACACTATATGTTTTTAAAATTTGAATCAATCAATGCGATAAATAGTCCCACAAGTTATCATTTTCTCTTTCTTCTGGCATAACAACTATATCCTTAGCTTCCAATAGGTCATTAAAAATTTTATTTAGAATCAGTTTCACAATTTTAAGAACACCTCTCTATTCCTTGAGTTTGCTTTGTATTTATATTACAAAATTTTATTTCTTTATTTTTTTCTGGTTCTCAACAGCAATCACACACAATAAAAACTCCAGGATTCTCTCCTATTACCCTGGGAAGATGCTGCAAATAACCAAACAACTACACAAAGTCCCTTGAGTACAAACCATCAAAAGCCACTGGAGCTGGCTGATCAGAAAAGCAGGGGGTACACTGGAGGTTCCAGGAATATGCAAGTGAAGCATGGTTCACTTAAAATCCTACTACCTATCACACAATATCTGAAGTTGAAATGACCCCAAGCTCCCAGTGTGAGTTGATAACTCTTGGCTTTTGATACCTGGAATGGAGTCTGAGCAGGCCTGTACCAGTCACCTGAGGCCATGGACTCCAACAGCCTGAAACGTTAAAAACTACCAAGCAACCCCAACTTCTAATCTTTTTCCCCTACTCTTTTATTTACCTTCTTCCTTGATTATTTAGCGTGTTTTGGGCTTTGGTTTAAAAATGCAGTCTCAGTCTCCCAAATGAGCAAATGCCAAGGCTACAGTTCCCTCATGATCCTTCTTTCCTGAACTCAATAAACTTAATATTTTCTACTTTAACCCCAATTTAAAACCCATTTGTTGATTAATTTACATTTAATTTCTGTTCCTCTGTTTCTCTAAAAATATAACATAAGCACTCAGAGTTTTATGCACAGACTTGTCAGTATAATTTCTTGATTTAAAAGTCTTTGCTTAAAGCAGAAAAAGATCAAGATGTTTATGGAATTCACATCACCTTCTTTAATTTTCCAGTGAAAATATCACAGGAAATAGAAAAGGATTAGGTTTTTTTAAATCTCCCTGGTATTAAAACTTCAATCACATTTACCACCCACCTGTTGGACTTTAAACTAAAATAAAGCCAGTAGGCATCTTCATGTAGTTACACGGTACATAAGGCATGAAGTCACTAACTATAAATTCCTGTTTTGTCGTAAATTAAAGGAAATATAAGATACAAAGATTTCCAAAATTCATTCTTTTTCCTTTGAGCCAGAACCAGATGTTTACCTGAATGCTATTACAGTGACATTTTTTCTTTCATCTAGGAAAGTAAGTTTAATTTTTATAAGATAAATTTTAGTGTTAGAGCCCAACATATACCGTTCTTGTGAAGGGAAAGACAGTACAGGATCCAAAGGAGATATCACCATTTGGGAAAAGAAAGGTACTGGAGAGTGTTCCAAGTGCTGTATAGTGTTTCACTCCTGTTTACTTCTGCAAGAACACCAGGAAAATTCTTTTCCTAAGAAACCTGCGTTATCTATCTCACTTTTCCATAACTAAACTGCCTATTCTGTATTCTCCTCCAGCATAAGTTTGAAAGAGATGATGAGAGCTAAGAAGGCAAAGAAAGGTTCTATTCTCATCGATACCTAAGGAGTGAATGATCCCATATGCATTGGAAAACATAGGTGGACTGTCGCTGTGGCATACCCTCGCACAATAAATTCCCCAAAGACAAACTAAAGAGTTTCAGTGACAATTAGTAATTGGATTTGTATCTGGGTCAAGATATTAAAGAAACTGGTGATCCTAGAGAGTTGTGGCAATTCCTTTCAACATTAATTTATAAATAAGGAGTTGTAAAACACATTGGAGAACCTCTTATTAGATATGTACAAAACAAAACACTGAGTTAACCACCATTTAAAAAAAATCTGTTAGAATTAAAAACAACTTCACCAATACCTTAGCTTATATGGAAATAAAGACATAAGCTTATTTGGTTTCTCTTTATTTTTATTTTCTTTTCGTTTTCTGTTGCTCTAAGAAGAAACTTTTGTAAAAATGTCTTTAGGCACACAGAAAAATAAACATCCTTATAGTCCTATAGGTTTGATAGACAGAAACAAAATCAAATTTCATCTCATACGAAAGATTTGCAACTTCTAATTATTCGTGCTATTAAAAGGGAACTTTCTGAATTGACTCTTTTAATGTTCTCACTGTAGAGTTTCACAATGTTATCATCTCACCTCTGATATTATTTTCACTGTCCTGTTAACTCCTGGTGTCTAGGTCTTACTCTTTTTCATCCTATCACATAGAAACTGTAGACTGGAATCACTTTTAAAATGATCTTTGGATGCCTGAACAGCAGGGAAGATTGCTATTCATTTGCAGCAAGAAACTCAATCATTACTGCGTTCCAATTAGAGAAAGCCTAGGGGCCCTCTTTATTAAGATGAAACACAAATTGTATAAAGACTTGCTAAACCACTTAATATTTTTATGGTGATATTAAGGAGCTTGAACATTTTAAATACTAATTGGGAATACGTATAAGCTATACCATTTAGCCTAGGTGCATAGTAGGCTATGCCATCTAGATTTGTCTAAGTACATTTTGTGATGTTCACATAATGATAAAATCACCTCACAATACATTTCTCAGAACGTATCCCTGTAGTTAAGTAACGTGTGACTGTACAATTGTCCTAGGAGCTCTGTGTAAGGAAATGGGGTCAAAGACCAAATAATAGCAAAAAAAATTCTCCTAGCACCACTATCTATAAAGGTATCAGGAGCTCTTTGTCAAGAACTGAAGGCAGAGGCAAAATATATATTTATTATTATTTCACAATATCACACTCTCCAAGTGTTTTTAGTACTTAAACACTTGATGAGAAATTCCTTCATCACAGTGCCAATCTGTTTCTTTTGATATTCTTTCCAATATTTGTTATTAATTTTTCATAATTTTTATGTCTTTTACAAAATTTTGTCAGAAAAATGTTTTTCCTCTTAGAAATGATGCCATAACCATAGACATTACTTATCAAGACCTAAGTTTTAGTTGTATTCCTAATAATAGAACATAAATTCAGCATATCTATCAAATTGAACAAATAATTAAAGCTTTTGAGAAAATGCTTCTGTGTGATAAAATCATGCTTCAGTTAGAAAACTTGCATGTAGAAGTCTAGGAAAGTATTCATCATGTTAGAAAGCAGGAGGTAAGGGACAAAGCATCAACTGTGGAGTCAGACCGGGGTTTTAGTCTTCTCTGATCTATATTTTTACATGCAGTAAATTAACACATTGACTGCCATACTAGAAAAAATGTTTTTTTCCTTGGGGCCATGGTGTTTTATTATGAAAACAGAATCAAAACTTTGAAAACAAAACAATCCTTTCTAATTTAATGAAAAATGAAATTTATTGACTTCTAGTCATTTAATCCACCTTTTTAGAGTTAATTTGTCAATACTAATTGTAACCTTATTGTTACCACATCAAGTAAGATTTTTCACAAACCAGCTTCAGGGTTTTGCCCAGGTTTTGCTTCATGAGGCCCCGGGCTCAAAACTAGCATGAGTTAAATATAACTGACATGGCAGTTAGTGTGTTAAAAAATAATAATGATCAAAATGTTCTTTTGAGGATTATAGAAAATATATGTAAAGCACCTAAAATAACTAGTACTATCAGCATGTGGTTGTAGATATTAACAACTATTCCTGTCATTAATAATTATCAAAGATTGAAATTTTTGAAGAGAACTTATGCTTCATTTATCTTTTCTTTCCTGAAAGCATATTTTGAGATAGAGATTTCTTTTCAAGAGTTTTATTAAAGAACACTCTAAAGAAAACTCTTTAAGGGTATGGGAGAAACAGGCTGAGATAAAAGGGAGAAACTTCAAGGTGGTTTCAGGCAAAGCTATGCCACAGGGCGGATCCAAGTGCAAAGACGTAATTCCAGGTACCTCTAGAGAAATCTTTCTCCAGTAGCCCAAGGACTGTCCTCCAACATGAGATGTGAGCCATTAGTAGCAGGGTCTGGGCCACAGGACCTGGTCAGGGCACCAGCGGTGACTGCTACATTGACTCAACAAATTATTAATAGTTCCTTAATACATATCTACTTAATTAAGGAAAATAAAATTAAATTATATTTGTCATACCTCTAACTCTTTTGAATGAGTGCATAATGGTTCTTGTGGTATCTTATAGAAGTTAACATACGGTTATGCACAAAATAGGTGTTAAATATTACTATTTTAAGTTGCTCGATTTACTTAATTTTCAAATATGTAATATTTCTTATTTTTCCTATTTGTATGCATGCTTCAATCCAATAGGCCAGAACCTGTTTTGTGGACAAAGGATGGAGGAGAATTACCAGATCCTGACCGAATGGTTGTGAGTGGTAGGGAGCTAAACATTCTTTTCCTGAACAAAACGGATAATGGTACATATCGATGTGAAGCAACAAACACCATTGGCCAAAGCAGTGCAGAGTATGTTCTCATTGTGCACGGTAAGTACCTTTTTGAAAACATTATATGTAAAAGGATGAAAAATTATTTAAATGTATCAAAATCTTTAGAATAATAAACAAAATTAAACAGGTTTTCTTTTTCTTTCAGAAGGACTTCTCGTAAGTATCCCCAAGATTTAAAATTAAATATGCCAGTCAGACTGATAAAATAAAATTACAACATGAACTAAAAATAAAAATCATTTTTGGGAAAAGTTTTTTCTATTATAAATGATTTTATTAGATTTTAGTGGTGACCAGTAAATTATATTAATGATTGTTTTTCAATTTTACAAATAAATGCTTTAAATTATAATCTAGAATCATGAAAATTATATTTCCCTAAAGCTAATTTTGATTGTGTTATCATAAAAATATACTTTATAATTGCTATAACTGATTTCTGAAAGAATGATAGTATGTCATTGGGATCTAACAGAAGCATATAGTATTAATGATAACTGCATTAACTTCTTATGAATTAAAATTTAAAATTTCTACAGACTTTTTTTTCTGGACTGCATTTATCTTACAATTTGAGTAAATATAATAAAATGGCAGAAAGAAATACTAGCAACCAAGGGTGAATAAAATCTCTGTTTTTCCCAACTGCCAAAAGCCACAATGGGTTGTTAATAAGGTAGTTTTAACATATTGTCAGATGGAGGTGACCTTTTATGAGATCGATATATACTTCAATAAATAAAATTAGGCAGGTTTCTTTATTGCAGTACTTCTCAGAGTTTATTTTATATGCCAGGGTGCATTGTGAATATCCAAGAGAAAGAACCATTAGAGAACGTAACAATTTCTTCATCTATCTCACCAAGAAAAACTTTTCTGAGACAAGTATTGTATTCTACATAATATTACAGTATGCTAAATGAGTATTGTAGAAAACACAATGCTATATTTAATAAATCCATTGGGGCTTTGGGAACATGGAGAGAGCATGTTTATTTGATATTTTCCCCATGAATTCAATTATAGAATACTGTAAATGCATGGATTAGTTCTATACCTTTCCAAAAAAGATTGTTGGGGGTGAAGTCTAATTTTTTTGTAAAAAGATTTAATTTTAGAAAACAATCTGATTAGTGTTATTTTTCCTAGATATTTATTTCGTTACTATGCAGGCCAAAATTGACCAAAAAGTAATACATTAAATCAATATGCTGTTTTCCTATTTTCAAATTCCTTTAGTGTATAAGATCTCTCAATTCTTAATACCACTTTGCTGTGGTAGGCAAATCAAGGTTCCCAGTGAATAAACTGTCCACATAAAATATCTTGAAAATAGTAGAGCTAAGAGTTTAATTTCTATCACCTCATAGATTATGCAAAATTCAACTTTAGGAAAGATTGGCCTAATCAAATTAGACTGACAAATTGGAATCAAATGTGGTAAACCCCTGTAGACAAAACCTGCCAGCCTTACTGCCACAGGGAATGTAACACCCCTGGGTATGTCAAGAAGAGAGGTTAGATCCTTGGAAGAGGACCTAAGAGTAGATTTCAGTTCATGCTGCCTGGATGTTTAGATCATACAGTCATGTAAACAAAGGATAGTCTATCCGAGTTATTCTTAATTTTCTAAGTTCTCTCACCTAACAGTTTCTGAGAACCTGGGGACATGTTGTATAGTGTGTAATATTGTGTCAAAAGCAATATGATATAAAAATATAGAGAATTAGAAGGGAAGTCACAGAAGAAAAATATAGTTGGATGAAAGTATATCATTTTTTAAAGTAATTCAAGTAGGGAAAATTCATATGTTTTCCCAGTGTTTACAAGCTAGCCAACAGCATGATTTCCAAAATAGCCAAGCTACCTTTAGGTAGTTGGCAGTTGACATATTTCTAATAAATACTTCTTGAAGCACTTTGTAGGAAGTCTTTTTTGGTTTTGCTTTTTGAACTCCAATTCATCAAAAGCACCCCATAGATTAATGCTATTCATGCTGCTCGATAAATGCTGTGAAGTTCAACAGTAGTTTACCTAGGATTATTGACACCAGTAATGAGAGGCTCGATGAAACAGTGAAACCGTTTTACACTGTGTTTTAAAAGGGCTCCAATTGGGTTCATTACAAAATAAAGTTTTTTCCCCCTTTGCACACTGGGTGTAATGTTTCATTAGTCACTGGTTGTATAAATATAAAAAGCTACTCTCTTCCATTAATGGTTTGGCTGTTTCAAAACTCGACTAAATGATGAAATTTGAGTGGCATTTCGATCTATAATGAATGCTGCATGCATTTTAGAATGGAGTGATAAGTGATCATTTGTGAGAACTTTACCCTTTTATCTTTTACACCAAGGTTGATTTTACATTAGCTGTGATAATTTAATATAGCTCTAGCACAGAAGGGTTTCTCATGAGCTGAAACCCTTGTCTTTGACTCTACCACAATTGCCTGGATTCTATTGATTCTTAATTTGATGGAGGTCAGAGCGCTTTCCCGTGAAATCATCTACTATCTAGATGCCATCCTAATAGTTAGATTTTATTGTTTGGGCGTCAATGGAAGTACATTATTTAAATGTTATCATATTTAATTGTTAAAAGCATAGACTTTTTGTGTTATGGACGCTGAAGGTCCCCCTCTTCCTAATTACACCTTCGAAAACTTCAGCATCAGGACTTACAGATGGTAATTTTAAACTGCCAGCCTAAAATTTACTCTCAATGAAAGGCCTAATAAAAGTCAGCACACAAATACCTGCAGGATAAAACATTAAACTTATGAAACATTTGCATTGTAGAAGTTCCATTAGAAGAGAAAGAAGCACTTTTCATTAACAAATTAATCTGTTAAAAATTAATCTGTTAAATTAGTATCCATAGTTATACTAATTAATTCCTGTGAGCAGCACAGTAGTTTCTTACATTTTGCTTCTTTATAAAAATGTTGAAATGTCTCCCTTGTTATCATTATCATGCTATTTATTTCTTTAGAATGGCTGATTATATCCATAGGCCTAAAAGCTTTGGAGTATTTTGATCCATTGCTGTTTTTACCATTTGGAGAACTCAAATCAAGAGAAAAAATTATTCACTCACCAAATTGATATTTAGTACTTATCAACTGAGTGCAAAGGCATTGTGGGAGCAAAGATGAGTAGCATTCAAGAAGATCATAGTTTAATATGGAACATAAATTAAACATGCAAACAATTATAATACAAAATAGAAGAGCTATAGGGAAATGGTCATACAGTGATGTAGATGTTCACAGTCTGTGAAAGTGTAGTCCAAGTGTCTGGATTTATTTGGGGGGTGAGATTGGGGAACAGGGTCTCACTCTCTTGCTCTATTGCCTATCCTGGAGTCCCAGAGTACAGTAGCCCAATCATAACTCGCCATAACCTTGAACTCCTGGGCTCAAGTTATCCTCCCTTTTTAGCCTACAAGGTGGCTGGGACATCAGGCATGCACCAACACACTGAATAACTTTTAAATTTTTCTGTAGAGATGGGGTCTTGCTATGTTGCTGAGGCTGATCTCGAACACCTGGCCTTAAGTGATCTTCTGGCCTCAGCCTCTCAAAGTGCTGGGATTACAGATGTGTGCCACCATCCCTGACCTGGAATTTTTAAAAATAGTAACACAACATTCCTGGATTGTTCATAAATAAATGACATACATCCTAGGTGGAAGTAGCAAGGTGTAAGTTGCATAGATGTACAATAAATTAGATTATTATTATTATTTTATTACTAGTAGCCTTATTATATCAAGGGCAGTCCATCTCCAATGCTCTGGTAAGGAACTTACCCATGCATTGTATGCAATTTATTGCCCATAAACTTCCCTTAATGTACTCAGAACATAAAGTAGTTTATTTCTAATGAAGAACAAGAATATGCTAACTTCCTGCTAAGAGATAGGGAACATCTTAAAAATTTCACAATATAGCAAGTTAATAATATATAAAACAGGACAAAAGTTATAATCTTCTTTTTCGAATGCAATATCAAGTTCAGAGGATTTAGGTAAGGTATCTTCTCCCCAAGCAAAAACTACTGAGATCTGCATCCATCCACTGCAGAGCACAGCAGACACCTATTTATCATGTAAAGAATGGCTGTAGGGAATTACCAATGACCTTAGGCTAATCTTATTTTGTGGTCGTAAGCAATTCAAGTTGTTATATTTATTTGTAATCAACTGATTAAAAATATGCTTTTTTGAAAGTGTTTGGAAATGTATGGGACCTGGAAATTTTTGAGAAATAATATCTATGGAGAGTGAAAAAGACAAATGACAACATCCCTTCCAAATCTTAAACTACTTCTTTCTCAAGTTTCCCAATGTTTTTTATCTCCCTTTAAATTCATGTAAGAGAAATTAATAGCCACTCCCCAAAATATAAAATAAAGTGGACAGATATTCTAGAACTCTTTCGTATCACCTCTAGCCTCAAAACTCTCCCCAGGATTTGGGAAGAAATAAAGTGAAACGAGTTGAAAAATGAGTAATTCATTTCTCCTTTTACCAGTAGCTGCACTATTGATGACAGATCCAGGCAGCACACAAGGGTAACAGGGAGTGAAATTAGTGCTTCAGTGGAGAGCCCAGGTCGTCCTATAGTCATAAGAGAGTTAAGATACACTATTGCAGAATTGTTTTTATAATATTCTTCCTCCCTCTTCAAATTTACTCTTCCTATTACCATAGTAACCCTTTTATGAGTCGATCATTGCTCTAACATATTTCATTACTTCATTATTTTTCTTCTTGTATGAATAAGCTTTCATAATAATTTATTGCTTTTTCATTTTAGCTTTTGCTATTTTCATTTTAAATGAAACTGCCCACTATGCACCTTTCCAAATATTTACTTTTCTTTATGTGTTCACATTTTGCTTTTCTAGCAAATTTTATCTCTACAACCATATAAGACAAGTAAAATTCTCCATGATTAGTATTATGATAGTATACAGTAAAATAGAATCAAGATTTTGTTTATATTTCTGTACTGCCAATCAGTTTATCAC